ACTGCCACCTACAGCGAGGAGGGCACCGTTAAAGTGATGATGAAAGAGTCTAAGAATCAGAAAATACATTTCACTGTGGATCAGAATAACAGGCGGTTGTACCAGGAGAAGCAGCTGAGCGAGGTGCCTGGAGAGTACATAAGTTAAGGCCGGTGGAAAAGGCTGCGTGCTGGTTCAGGTAAATCAACAACAGGACGAGCCAAAAAAAGACAACAACAGCAAAATGTGTGACAGAACTGTAACAATAAAAGAGAGACAAAGGAAGGCCAGGGGTGAAAGAACAAAATCAGAATAGAGTTTATTCCCAACTAAGCTTGTATTTTAAAGGACATTCTTTTGATGTTTTGGTACAAAACACTGAACATAGAAACATGATTAGAATCAAAATCAGAATCAGCTTTATTGGGCATGTTTGCTTACATGCACAAGGAATTTGTCTTCAGTAACTGAGCTCTCAATGTACAAAAAGAACAACATTTAATGTAAACATAATATAAGCAAAAGGAATAATAAATACAAGGCTAAATGATGATGAAAATAGAGAACATTTAAAGTGTTATATTATATTTATATGGACAACTTTAGAGTGTCCACAGGAAGGTACAGAGGATTGAAAATGACTGGAAACTGTATCCACAGCAAGCTTCCTAAACTAAATAAAGCCCCGAAAATGATTAACTATACCACCAAGCAGCTGACTTAAAACCAGAACTGACCAGGAGACCAAGAAAACACAAAACAAAAAGCAAAGGCTGCCAGAGAGACCTTCAACACAAACAGCTGGAGGTGCAAAAAAAACTATCTAGCACCCCAAGTTTATACTCTGGGAGACTGGCAAAGGAAATCTAATACACACAAAGATCTTTTATGGTGTTTATATTTACACAAACAGACAACTAGAGGAACCACAGGGAGACCGTCTCACTACCTCTGAAGGTGCCCTTCAGTTTGCCAGGCAAACGGCAAATCAACGTGTTTGCAGAGATGAAAATCAAGCAAATCAACTAGTAAAGATATAACCGATTCTACCTGACCTAAAAGCCTAATTTTTCTAATAGGCTCTAAGACCAGAAATTGGGTAAACCAGGTTAAATATTGGAGAAGGGAGAGAGGTTAGAACACAGAAATATTTCAAGACTGATGAAGAGCTGGCTAAACACTGAAGCTTTTGGGTGCGCAACATAGCAACCTGACTGCTTCATAATTTAGAAAGAAAACTCATTTTCTTTTAGCAGCTTCTGTTCTGACACTTGTAGATTATTTTTTATTGTAAGTTTTAATCAAAATGTACCGTCCCTCACCCCAGATCACGATGTTTTATAACAGCCCCATATTATACTTGAATGTTTGAGTGTCCAGCTGAAAGGTGACAACTCGGTGCGCCTTCACCTCTTCATGTTTTAGAAAAGTGAAGCCAAAAAAAAGGCTGCCGTCTTAACACTGGCGATGTCATTTGGAGTTATTTTATAGTTATTTTCAGTATGGTATGTCTGTCAGAGCTGCGGCCTCGACGTCCAGCCCCCTCCGCTAAAATAATGTTAAGATCTCCTGATTGAGGTTACTTCATTAGCAGCTTTCTGAGGTTATTAAACATGTACCACGAACTGGTCAGTTTCAAAGTTATGAACTGGTTTTACTGAGGTTTACTTTCTATCCTGAATACTCTCGCAAGACTTTGAGTTTAACCTTTTACCGCTCACGCGAATAACGTTAGCTTAGTGGGCTCGTCAGTTAGCACAAGTTAGCTTACAAGAAGAAGACAACAATGTCCAAAGTCACCGCATAATATGCATAATGTTCCTTGATGTAAATTATGTAGATATACTCTGTTCCAGCTGGTAGCCTAGAGGTTAGTGCATGCATGTATGGAGGCTATAGTCCTCCAAACAGGAGGCCCGGGTTCAAGTCTGATCTGTGGTTCCTTTCCCACGCTCTCTCTCCCTGATATCTGACTCTATCTGACTCTTAAATAAAGGCATAAAAAGCCCCAAAATAATTGAATCAGTTCCTTAAAGTAAAAAAAAAAATGTTGGATTTAATTATCAGTTTGAATCAGATTGGGTTGACTTGTGCAGCAGCTTCTTCACATGCTGATTGTTATAAAAGCATGTACAGAGTCTTAATTAGTGATGGAGGTGTGGAGGTAACCACATGCAGAGGAAGTCAACATGCATGTCTCACTTTGTGCTGAAAAAAGACATAGACGGATTGAAATGTCTGCACAAATCATTTTTGTCTTTTCTGCCCAGAGTCAAAAATATTCAATAAGTAGTGTTTAAAGAACATTTCTCTATTTCCTCCTCAGCTAGAGAAACTCTTCTTCCTGTTAGAAGTCCTCCTCACTCCTCCTAACAGTTTCACACCTTAGGAGCTCTCTTAAGGGCCAAGACGCTTTGTGAATAACTTTCGTTCTAAGAATTTTCTTAGAATTTTGTCACTAGGAGAAATACTCATTGTACTTCGGAGACAGATCTTTATCTTCTCTGTCATACTGAGGCGTATCTAAACGTAAGGTGTTCTTTTGTTTTCAGGTGATGAGGCGTTCACTGACTACACCTCCTACTACACAGGGTAAGTTACATTTACATTCTGTTTCTCTTTTGTATTGAATGCAGATACAAGCATGAACAAGCTTTTTTTCATCATTTCTTATGTCAGAAACACCCCAAAGACATTGTATAACATAAAGTATTCAATTAGATCCCAGACATTTTTACTCCTCTAGGTTTTTGAATGAATGTCAAATTTAATTGAACAAATTAATTATATTTTTCAACAACCTAAACTGAGACATTTCAAGTTTCACTATCATATGTTATTTTAAATGCATGTTGGTGGGTTACAGGTAACCTACTCTGCAGGTGACAGCAACAATGATGCATAAAAAAACACACATGGAAGTCCTGCAGAGAAGCCTGACAGGATTTTTTTTTTTTTTTCTGTTGGAAGAATCTCTGTGCAGCAGAAAGAAACTTCTAGATAATTATTTTTCTCTCAATACGTTTCAAACTTGGTATCTGGCTGTTTCTAACATTACACGAATAGAGAGATGCATTTTCTTTCGGGAGGAGGTTTCATCTTGTTTAAGTCCGTCTTGGGGCCTTTACTACGGAGCGGGTATCTGTCGGTTATCTGGCTTCACTAAACCTGACATACGAGATCACCCAGAGTTTCTTTCAGTACTTTCACATGAAAGGGGCGGAGTTATTTTCATATATCCATCCATATTTATCCATCCATTTTCTGTCTGTCTTTTCTTCATTATTGAACTGCGCTGATGTTGGTAAGTTTCATTGTAGTACGATCCGCTGCAGCGCCCAATCAATGAGTGATATTCGAGAGGGGGGCGTGTCTGTCAAAGACTTCCCGGAAAGATGCTTTTATGGTTCATTGATCAGAGCTCCTCCAAGTTGTTTCCTCGATTCCTCAAACCTTGCTCCTGGTGCCGAAGTAAGAGACTTGATACGAGAGGAGTGAGGAAATTAAAAATAAGAGACATGGGAAGCAGCCCTGGAGACAGATAACGAGCCACACTCACATTCACTAGTGCGGGCAATTTAGAGTCACTAATTAACCTAACAAGCCTGTCTGTGGACTTTAGACTGTGGGAGGAAGCCAGAATACCCGGAGGGAACCCACGCATTCACTAACCCCTGCACCACCGCACAGCCCTATCTTCATATAACCTGAGCAAACTATATTAAAAAAATAAAAAATGAAGTTAGTCACATAGGTTACTATAGGCTCAAACAAACACAGCTGCACTGACAAAACGCAGGTGTAAAGCCCTACTTGCACGGGACTAGTATTACCTGGGGATTTAGAAATTACCCCACCACGTCTGTGTATTGTGCGGTGCAGTCACACGGGATAAGCGAAGTCTGTGTTGTAACTCAAACATTATCCCCGGATATGATGTCAAGGCTCTGCGTAACATTCGCTGCCTGGACAACAAGAGCAATGGCTGCAAATACTTTTTTTTTTTTTTTCTAACATCGTAGGCCAACCCATGCAAAGACTCTATGAACCAGTCTACAACAAAAGCATGTTAAGGCTGGCTAACTGCATCGCCTCTGATCCTGACCACGCTCTGAACAGAGTATGAACTATTACCATCAAACCGGAGATACAGGGTCCCACGTTTTAAGAAGGTTAGACTGAAACACTCTTTTGTTCACCAATCAATCCTAAAATTGAATGTGGAGCTGAATCCTTGATCAAAGCACATTTAGGGCCTCTGGGTATTTGTGTGGCATTTTAGTTTTGTGTCAAATGTTTGTATCTCAGTTGAATTGCTGTGTGGGGTGAACCACATTACCAGAAGCAATTTCTGCCATGCAAATAATCCATCCTATCATCTTTGGGGATTTGGCTCTTCTGATGGATTTGAGCTTGCTCTTTCTGTGAATGGTTCTCCGTGCTGTGTAGCGAGATGAGCCTGCTGAACCCAAAAAGCTGTCAAAACTTTCATTTAGAATTGCAGACGCCGCCTCAATAATTCTCGACCGGCAAAAAAGTCAGAAAAATGAATGAATGAATAATCATTGAGATATTCAGGAGTTACTGCTGTCTCTCTTCTCAACACCAGAGCCTTCGCGGTAAAATCCTGCAGAGTTCAAGAAAAGCAGCCGACATCTTGTAACAGTTCATTTTTAATAGATTCAACAAAATCCATATAATTCATATGTGAAAGCAACACATGAGACACGCGGGTACCAATAACACAGTATGGTCCGAGTATTGATTATGAATGTGTTTGTGTGAAACAGGATCTACTGTCTAGAAGAAAAGAAAATCAAAGTTTAATGAGTGCTGGGTGATTTATTCTGTGTGTGTGTGTGTGTGTGTGTATGTGTGTGTGTGTGTGTGTGTGTTTTCTGCTGTACCATTAAAAAAAGTAGATTGATTCATCACTACTGTACAATTTGTAACCAGGTGACAATAAAATTTCTAAAATGACAAAAATAAGTAAAAATTTTACTTCTTTCCATACAATACTGTTAGATTTCTATAGTAATATTTAATCATTCAGGCATCCTCTTTACAGTATATTTAGCTTCCTCTCTTTCTAACATAGATAACGACAGTAACGTATACACCACCTACTATCAACAGACATGATTTAACAGCCCTGCCAGTGTTGAATAGTTTGGTTTGCACACTTTGCAGAGAAATTAAAGGCAAGGGGACAGAATATATTAAGGTCTTTTATCACTAGTTGCCTTTTTTCTTCTTTTTTTTAAGTAAACTTGCCACTATCTCAGGCACCACAACCATAAATTATCATCATCACTGTACCGACACATGAAACCAAACAAGAGTTCCACATGCTCCAATAATCACAGCGTACTTTCTCCTCTGCTCCTACAACAACAAATAAAAAGATACACAGAAAAAAGCATCCTGCATGTGTTACCTACAAACTGATCAATAGAGTCACAATGTGATGATGATCGATATGTTAAAGAGGCCAGGTGAGCCCCCCCGTCACATAGAGTCTGTTAAAGCTGAAGATTTCTTTATCTGTTCTCATGCATGCAGGCCTCAGGTCACAGTGGGGATCTTAACCAGAGGGGGAATCTGTGTGATTTTATCAGAGGTCTGGTGTTCTATTAAAAGGTTGTGCAGACATTAGGCTGCCAACTTAAACCAATAATAACGTCTCATCCAAAAAAAAACTACTTTACAACTCATTTCAAGAAGTTTTTTTTACAGTACCATCTTTTGCAAACAGGCATCTGCAAACCAAGTTGGGAAATGTATCTCTTCATCAGTGAATGTACAAAATATTTAACTTTTTTTTTTCTGTATATCCGATTTAAAGGTAAATCTTGGAAATGTTAATATAGCGATTTTTGGGAAAACTTGCAGCTTAAGAAGTAGTCAATTGTGAAGAACCATTAATGGCAAACTTACTACATTTCCCATAATGCAACAAATAGTAGCTTTGAGGAGGCCAACACTACCTACTGATCCTCCACATGTTTGGAAATCAATGCCCCAAGTTGCCACCTTTAGGGAACAGTCGATTTTGATCAGTTTTATCAATTTTATACCTAATGGTTTAAGACAGGGTTTAAATGTGTAAGTTTTATTTACATTAATTATCTACTGTACTCCCAGAGCTTCTCTGATTCCCACCTAACACAGGATTTCTCCTCAGTTCCCCCTCCCCTCATACTAACTATATTATATGATTAAGTCTGAAAAACATCTGGAGAGGCAGTAAACATTATTGCAGTTTAAAATCAATATCAGAGATGCTGTACTAATTGCAAGTTTTCTTCAGTCCGTATTCCACAACCATAGTTCAAAGTTATTTTCTCTGACACCATTAAAATCCTCCAGAGCTCCTGGACGTGTAAAAGAGCCTTGTAGACTTAGAGTTCAAATAATAAAGTTACCCGGCTGATCCCCACTGCGCTCAGGGCCTTCTGATCTCAGATCTGCCTGTAATGATCCTAAAGGCAGTCGTCCCTTTAATGTGTTAGAAAACTGCATCACAGCTCAGCAACACAAACACAGATGCATTCATATGATTGAAGCCTTTATGAGGCTGTGCTGGACTCACAGACACGGCATCAGTAACAACACTTAGTCAAGGCACGGTTCTGAATTGCATTAGTCTACCCCCCTCCCCTCCCCCTCCCCCTCCTGTGGGGTCCTGTGTGGGTGTGGCCTCTGTAGCGCCCTCTGGTGGATATGCTTTAGGCTGGCAGTGATGATGGCTGCTCTCTAGCTGTGTTGTAGCATCATAAAGTAAGCTAATGGCTACTTGGCAAAAAGGTGAGCTGTTCTGTTTTGTTTTTAGGTGTGGAGTTTGTACCTTTAGTCGGCATCATGGAGGCGTTTAGTGAGATGTTCTTGTTCAACATATTCACACTCACTATAAGAACGTGACAGCTATGGTTGGACTGATAAACAGGCTTCCCTTTTGGGGTCTATTTCTGATTGTTGGATGTTTTTCAGTGAGTCCACCTACTTATATATTATAGATTTACCTTCTTTTTTTTTTAAATCAAATGATAAACTGTTGCCAAAGCTCTGCCATCAACAGGGACATTACAGCTAAAATATGTTTGAACAGAACGTGCTGTTCAAAGCCTGTTCTGGTCGAACCACAGTGAGAACTGCAGAGTGGACTCCTGAGCTGTGAGTGATCAAAGCTTTAGCAGAATACCTCCAAATACTTTGGTTAACCTGTGTGGAGTGATATGTCGAGCATGTAGCACTGGGTACTGTAAATGCTACACTTAATAGAATACACTATTGGTGCAAAACTGTTTTTAAATGTGTCAATAGATCCACAAATGTGTTCACAGATCGTGAACTGGGACTCAGATCCTCAAATACATTTTCTTTTTGCAAACACAGTTCATGTTTAATAGGTTAAACGTGTAGCTCTGCTGTGCTAAAATGTTACCAGGAGTCATATTAAAAGCAGCTTTTGACACACAGTGAAAGAACTCCACTACAAGTTTAATTCCTGAATTTAAAGTGTATCAGTGTCACGTTTAAGTAGGCTACTTAACATATTAGAATTGCAGCAATATCTTCCCTTTTAAGTGTTTCACAAATTTTACAATTATGCTAAATTAACCGGTTTCAAGAGGGAAAATATTTTGATGAAAATTGACAGCTGAATAAATTTTACTTGACTAAAACCATAAAGGGTAAAAACAATTCAAATGCGGTTAAAAAGTGATTAAATATAAAGACTAAAATAGCTGCCAAAATGAACAATGATATCATGATCTACAAATGTGTGAGTCTGGGTTTGATTGCCCTGAGTTTGGGCTCACAGGCTTATCGTGGATAATCCAGCCTTGCCTTTAATGTTTTAATACATTTACATATCTTCGTCTGTGTGGGCATTTGTTGATCCAGTTACAGTTTTGCACCAACACTATCTCCATACTTGTGGTTTAGGTTTAATCTAAGAGCAGCACTGTGGTGAAAGGACTTGTGATATTTTACTGTTTCACTGTTAAAAGACAAGTTCTGGACTTCTTCAGTCCCTGTTTACTGACATGTTATTTCTCATAGACTCAAACATTTTTGAATAAGATTCTTTCTAATATATGTCCTAATGATTACACCCCTCGATTGAAGACTCTTTTAAAACTATTCTGTCTACTCATGATGAAACACTCAAACAAAACATTGGCATTATGTCATTTGGCAATTTTCTCTAAAAGTAAAAAAACTGAAAGAAAACAAATTATACAAAAGTTTCAATAAACAGTAACTATACGATCTCCATTTGGCAATATAGAAAGGCTTTTTTTTTTACAGTCTTTGACAGGTATACATTTTGGTTTATATACAGGTGTGTCTAAGTGTGTGTGTGTCCTCCGAGGGCTCCCTTTTTCAATCCGAACAGAATCAGGTAGAAAATTGTGGAGGTGAAAACATCTACAAAATCAAAGAGTGAGATTAAAAACGTAACAAAGAAGGCGTTGTGTCCGCTGTGGACTGGAAACAGGAAGTGGCCCTGTAGAGTCTGTGAGGAGAGAGATCTGCCTCGTCACCTGTTCTGTCCGTGGCTCTCTCAGTTCATGAACTGTGTGTATCCCTCCGCGCCTGTGACGATCACATCCATCCAGATCCTCATGGCCTCCGCTGACGGAGCCACCATGTAGTAGAGCCGGTCATGGGTCTTCACACAGAAGGTCAGGGAGGGGTTCGGGCTCTGGGAAAAGAAAAAAAAGAACATACAGAAAACCTGAGTCACACTCCCATGTTTACTGACAGGACCCGCTCCACACCTCCTCACTGTCCTATATTCTGATCAGATACAAAGTATTTATCAGGACAACCTTTCACAAACTGAAGTGTGAATTCATTAGGTGAGTAAGTATTTATTTAGTTTCCATAGTTTCTGAAATTTAAACAACCTTACATGTATTGCATTGATCCTTGCCTACATGCTAGAGACGGGCATTTAAAGAAATATTACTTTTCCAAAGTCACTAACAATCGTTCAAATTAAATTTGAATATCTCACAGATGTTTCTCATCATTAAAATGTCCATTAACAGGCTAACAGGTTTAGCATTAAGACCAATCATTTTAACATTATAAACGATATATTAAACTTATCAATGTTACCCTAAGTATAACGAGTCGTTTCTTAAGTTACGGGATGCTGAATCAAAAAAATAAACGCCTGTACAGTGTGTGCCAGTGATGACAATAACTAATCAGACCTATTTTGTTTTTTTCGTACCAGGCTGTAAACATGTTTATTTATGCTGTAAAAACGGCTTTTTTGCCTGTCATGTGTTTGTGACTTCCGGTGTTTCCTGCAGCCAGCCTCAAGCGGACACTCGATGAACTGCAGGATTTTGCACTTCACATTGGCTTAATTTTTCAAGACTGGAGGTTTATATTCACCCAGTTAGCTAAAGCAGAAACCCCTGATGTTGATAAATGAAGCCAATGCAGAAGTGCAACAACAGTTCCTTGAGTGTCCACTAAAAGCTGCCTAAAATAAACATGATTCCAGTCTGGTTAAAAAGAAAACGGTTTTGTTTTGAGTAGCTCATGTTTTTATCAGGACACACTGTTCAGTCAGGGATTTTATTTTATTGATTTATTTTTCCAACTCATCTGTTTTGGTTTTAATAAGGTGAACAGTTATGCATCACTGAAGTTGTGGCTGACCTGCTAAAGGCCTGCCTCATCTTTAATCTTTTCCTGTTTCTATGGTGACTGACAGTTGGTTTAAGTCAGCATTTCCAAGATAGAGACCACCATCTTCAAAACTCTGCTTCAGAAACCAGTGGGTGATGTCACTGACACTGCGTCCATGTTTTATACAATCTATGCTTGGGACATAATGATTGAGCAGATTTCAGTTTTTTTTTTTAACCACTTGACTGTTTTACACGGGAACACTGGGATGGACGGGCCGATCAAACAGGATTTAAATGACAAACAGATACATAACCATAGTAGTCTAAAACATGCATCATCAGCCATCCAGCCTTTAACTAGTTCATCAATGCACATGCTCACTTTTAGTACACACAGGGATCAGAGGGGTTAGAAGGGTGAAAAGAAAGCGTGGATACATACACTGATATTCAAGTTGAAAAATCCCTTCTGTGACAGCAGCCGACCAAAGCAAAAAAAAAAAAAAATTAAAAAGCACAAACAAGGAGAAAAAGAAGCGGCAGAATGTGCAGACAGTTTGAAATGAAAGGTGAAAATAAAACAGTGAAATAAATGAGGGGAAAGGAGAGTTTGGAGTCACACCTTTGTGGCACTGCGGAGGTGGTCGTAATAGACCTCTTCTATCGCCTGGAAGTAGATCACACCCTTCAGCTTGGTCTCATGTTTGTCTGCGGGGAAGAAAAAGCAGCGTGGGGTTTGGTCAAAGAATACAACTGACAACTGCAGACTTTGTTTTGGCTTGAAAACGAGGCTCATCAGTGCGTGTCACCTCGAATACCGACAGGAGGGTGCACGATACGCCTATTTAAAAAAAAAAAAAAAAAATCACAAAATCACACTTTGATCATGACCAATTTATAGTTTTTGATGATGGATGGAAAAAGACAAGCACAGCACTTTTTTTTTTCTCTCTCTGCTTTTTAAACCAATGGAGCTCTCATTGTATTTTCACACTTGGCTGCATTCTTACGCTACTCTTGTACATCATTGCAGTTTGTTTCATCAGCCTCTGCAGAACTGCAGTGAGGAACCGGTTGGGGAACTCAACACCAGTCTCTACCTCCAGGCACAAACACTCCACAAGCCAACTTAAAGAGTAGTAGGTAGAAAGGCTGCGCTTCATTTCGAGGAATAACACTTTTTCCTTTTAACACGCAGCTATTATCTGCTAATGACCTCTTTAGCATTCAAATAGCCCTGGATTTGCATCTCATTTGCCTGCATCTAAATCACAAAAAAGCTGGTTGCAAATTAGCAGCGCTCACGACTTTACTCCAGTCACCTCCCGTCTCTCATTGTTTCAAGGTCAAGAGACAAGGACAGGCAATGCATCTCAATCAGCCTCCTCTGAGAGCGCACGCAGCGCCGAGCGCATTTTAACTACTGCCAGAGTAGATCTCAGCACACCCCCTCGCCCGGGCTCACTTTCAACAAGGTAACGCTTTAAGCAGCTTTAAGCAGAACCCTGTGAAGGACTTCAAAGGCGCTGACAGCGAACAAGTGTCCCAGAGCTCGCAGCACCGTGGCAAATTACACAACCGTGAACGCCTCATACTGCATGTACCGTGCTGCTGCTGCTGCTGCTGCTGCTGCTCAAGGTCCTGAGGACACAGGTTGTGTCTGTCACTCATCCACGGCAGGAAAATCCAAACCACTTTACATGCAGAGTGTTTAAACTCATGGCAGGCAGTTTGAAAATCTGTAACCTTTGACACCTGCGACAGTGTTTTTAATGTTTGTTGACATAATTTCTGATTAATTTAACTCTGTGTTTAAACAGGCTGCAAAATAAAGAGGAACACTTTGCTTTGAAATGCTGCTATTGGTGGAATAAAACTGATGACCAGCATTGTATTTGAATCCTTGTTTTAAGTATTCATTTTACTGTGCACTAAGGATACATTCATACTTTTGGATACCACTTGTTTTAAAAAGATACACTCTGTTGTTTTAATGATCAATAAAATTGAAAAGTAGAGAAAAGAGAAAGCACCGTCTCAATTGCACAAATATGTTGACGGTGTATTTGTGCACTTTGACAGTGTGAAGGTGTTTTCCTGCTTTTTTTGGGAACTAAAAACAAGAATGACCCATTAAAGGTGCCATGGACGTGTATTTGAGTTACTGATATTGAAACAGGTATCAGAATCGTTTGACACTTACTATCTTAACCAAAAACATCTGACTCTGTGACATCTTTACTTTACACTCCAACATTTATTCATTTAAATATTTCAATAGGACATTTTGTTCTTTATCTGACAGCTTCATTATCTAGTTAAGGTAAAGATTCAGAATAATAAAGAGTGAAATGAGCTGATAAAACATGATGTGTTCAAAGGGCAGGGTTTGAAGTTTCTTCTTACGTAGCTTTATGATTAAATGAGTATATTGTGATATATTTATATAATAATAATAATAATAATAATAATAACTTTAATATTGAAAGTGAGGTCATATATTTGAACCCTCTATGTCTCTGTCTGTGTCTGGCCTTTCATACATCTATATTTGGGGATATACTGTAGGCTAACAGTGAAAACTATACAATACTATAAATATATACAATAAAACTATAATTCAAAACAGTTTCCTGTCATTTCAAGAGTCTAAAGAACATGAAAAACCTCTCTAACAAACTTGTGCATGCATGTTTTTAAAAACGATCCAGTACCAAAAACTCTTCTCTGTGACACTCGGGTGAGATTGATATTTTCTTAAATTCTGAATCTTGAAGTTTAATCAGGAGGTTCAAGTTACTTTTCTTTCGTGTTTTCAAAAACAACTCCTGTAATGTTTACTGAAGAACCAAACCATACCACAGATATCATTTCCCTATTGATTAAAGGCTTCACTTGATTATTTTATCAACCAATAGAGAGTAAGAACCTTTTGAGACATCCATTTTACAGCATAAAGTGTTTGGCTTCATTTCCCTTATTGACATTATGCTTCTTATATTCACTACTGAAAGTGTCATCGCTGCACTAATATATTGATCAGCTGTTAGGTCACATTTCTGTATAAATACTGTAACATTCATGAGGCACCTTGTGTTCTTCTTACCGACATAGTAGGAGAAGGTCCTCTTTAGGCGGTCGAAGACGAACCAGCGTTTCTTCCAGGACTTGATCTTTCCCCCCATCTTCACCAGGTAGCCCTTACACATCTTCTCTGTGATGATGAGGTGGTAGCAGGTGTCCACGCTGTGACCCGAGGACTCCACGTGGGAGCGCAGGTCGAACTCCTCCTTCCGGATGGGCAGATAGCGAGTCATTGGACGAGCCTGGACGAGGGAGGAACATAAACTACTTCAGTCAGAGACAGATACAAAGACCAGAGCTGCTTCACAAGTCACATTTCATACAGTTAAAGTTATGTGAGAAAGCATTTCACTTTTTGCCTCCTTGTTTTTGTCTATTGATGTGCGCAATTAGTTGTATAAACGACTAAACAGTCACCCTCTCTATTCAACACCAATATTTCTAGTAGATTTAACTAATTATTGAGTCCAGTTATTTGTATTGATGGTATGAGATATTCAACATGAGACGCGGCACCTCAATCAATGCATTTACAGGAGCGACATAACAAATCTGATCACCTCCTGAACATGTGTCAGGTCCTATTTGAAACACCTACACTAGTAAGTTCACCAGTTTTACTTGTTCATTCACAGATGGAGATCATATACGGATGAAAAAAAGAAGAAGAAAAAATGTAGAAAAAGTGGATAAATTGACTTTGGCTGCTGTGAATAGTTGGGTGGCCCTTCCATGTATTGTCTATGTGTGGGAAACACTGGACTGAACACAAATCAAGCCAGGGTGCAAAATGCCCCACACCCAGATTGTAAAGCTGTTTTCACAATATGCATTCCTGAAAATATCTAGATCATTTCAGGAGGACTGCTCCTATTGGCTCGAGGTTAATAATAAAGACTAGAGGGCTGTCAGGAGAAACTCCAGGTGAAGTCTGAGTGAAAAATGTGGTTGTTTGCGTTCACACATAGAGCTCCTCCTGAAAATATCAGGAGTTTTCTGCACGTGTGAAAGCCCTATAGGACGAGTGTGAATTCAAAATTTCGCTTCATTGACTACATCAAATCTTTAGTCTAGTCCATGAAGACATGCAGTGTATTCTGGTGGTAAATTCTCTCATACAGGTTTAAACCCTGAAGGAAAACTACAGATATGGTGTGTTCAGTCTGAAAATGGTTAGTATTAGTCAAAAATCCATCCTTCTACACTCATATCCATTAAACCCTGCCATGTTTTTTTCAGACGGGGAGACTCCTTTTCCACTCTTCCACCATGCAGACTCAATTATGTCTGATTTCACTGACCTGAGAAAAGTTCTTGGACCTCATCTTGACCTCCCTCTCCACAAGCTGCTGCCGGTGGAAAGTTTCATCCTGCAGTCTCTTCTCGGCCTCCTCCCTCCTCCTCCTCTCCTCTTCCAGCATCTGACGGCGAGCCAGGCTCTCTCGCTCCTGGAGGACAGCGCTTTCATTAAGTATTTTTTTGATCCATGGATGGGCGCTGCACAGAACCCCTTTTCTCTCTTTTTTTTTTTTACAGCCAGAACTCTGCCTGAGCTTCATACATTTATGTACATTTTTATTCTCAGCTGGAGCTCCGACACAGAAGGTAACCAGTAGGGGGAAAATACAATTATTCTGCATGTTTAAAGTCAGAATCCTGACAGTGAAATGAACTGAAGGCTCACTGAAACTAACTCTTCCTTACACTGTTGACATTGTTTGGGACATCAGACCTGAATCAGGGGAAAAAACAGGTTTTCTGAATTGTGATGAACTCAGGGGAAACATGTAGATTCCTCTAAGTCCATCTGTTCCTTATATTACAGTCTCTACCTTTAAAATCAAGATGAGAGATGTAAAAGATTTGGAACTGAAATTAGACGTCTTTTCTTCTATCTCACATGTCACAGGCAGCGCTTTGGTTAGATCAGTGGTTATCCTGGAGTCTGCTGGGGCCCGAGGCAGGGGGCCCCTCCAAACAGCAACCGTCCCAATCATGTTATAGATAATCTGACACCAACACATTTCTTCAGTGAAGGAAGTTATGTTATGAAAGTGTCTCTCCCACAGATTTAGGGCTAGACAGGCATTATTCAGTCATTTAGTATTATATGAGTAAGTGCTGTCAGGGGGGCCTCTTAGGGGGGTTTCCTACTGTCATTGCAAACTTTGCACATTTTGAGACACTGCTGTGGTTTACAGTTTGTCAGCCCTCAGGGGCCCCAAAACAGTTGCCTGCCCAGCCTGTTGACAAGCAGCACCTCGGGGTTAGATTGAACCCTGAATCTCTGGAAGACGCAGAGTCCCTCACTCCACGCTGAACTGCTTTACACATTCATTAGTGCAGATTCATATTCTGAATAACAGGTAATGTAGGATGTGCCAAGAGGCCATGCCATAAGTCACTGCTGCAGGAAGAAGTTTTTTTATGTATATGTGGAAGTGTTAAATGTTTTGTATGATCTCTGTTTATGTTCTTTTTAATTCTCTTGTGACTGCAGGACACAGTCCAAGACAAGTTTTGTCGACTGAACTCTTCAGATGCTGAAAGAGTCTTTTCTACAAAACAGAAGGTGATCATATTATTATTCATTTATTTCTGTATTTATTGACAGTTGGTCTTTCTAAGCCCAGCTCATCTCTCATCAGAAATCATTTCTTGATCCTTAAAGTAGAACAAACAAGAACTTGCTAAGATGGCAGACATGAGGGGTTTCTGAGTCAAGCGATGAGGGACTGTAAACTAGTTTCCTCATTCAGAGGACTTTATCTGAGACTCTCTGAAATGGGTATGCTTGAATGTAGTTTTATCCAAACCTAAATGTTCTTCCAGACCTATAACGGTGTAGATCAGTTCAAGAGCAGTTTTCAATGGGGTCAGGTCTTTTATAGTGGAATAATAACAAAAGGAGTTCATATAGTGAAAGACGAGAGAATTGATAAAAGCTTTAGAGCATGAAACTGATCACTCTGAGCTTCATCATCAGCACACAAAGCGATGAAGACGTTTGAAACATGGAGGTCAATAAAAAAAAAGAACTAAGGCCTCAGGTTGCTGTTCTGAAGCTTCATATTTCAAATTCATGATCAATGTAAAGACATCGAGAGGAGAAGTGTAGGAAGGCTCATCCATCAGCGGGTATGGATCGTGAGGAATCCAGATTTCATGCTGTGATATTTGCGTTTCAAATGGTGTCTCACCCTTGATTCAATAAGTCTGGCTTTCTCCAGCTGCGCCTCCTTCAGCATCTTCTCCATCTCCTCGATCTTCAGAGAATCGACTCCTCCGACACTGACGAGAAAAAACACAGAGTTACTACATGAGATAAACAACCACCAACACACAAACATATCCTGCATTTAACAGCTGCATTACAGCACATCAACTCAGTTAACCTTTACTTCAAAGCACGGTTCAAAAATATCTGCAGGGCAAATTTGTAGACTGTGTTTGTGACGTGATCTCCCAACAGATGGGAGAAAGTCGGTCTCTTTTCTTTCTTTTTTTTAAAGCAGCTTCGGAGCAAAATGCAAATTTATATACCAACAACAGCCTTACTGGTAGCAACATTTAAAAATGTAATGGCTTTATATTTGAGTAGTGCAGCTATTTCAGTTTATTTTTTCTCAATCAATTTATCAGTCAGTCCCTCGGAGGTCAGAAAAACATCAAATTAGTCCAGCAAAGCTTCTTTAAAATCCTGAGTAAAGAATTTAAATATCTTCTTCTGTCAGTCCAAAAAAGAAAAATGTTTATGTGTAATTAAATATAGAACAAAGAAAAGCATGACATTTCATGTATACATAAAAAAACATAAAATACAATGCTTTAGGTAAATTTGCACCAATTTTCTCATCTGGTGGGAATTTGTGTGAAAGTGATTTTAATTTCTTTCTTTGTTACATCAAAGCACATTTTGCAGAAGAAGCCAATGAGCCACATGTTTGCTATCTGGAGTTCTGCTTGTGAAAGAGCACGTACAAGACTCTGATGTAGGAAATGGACAAGACAGGAATGATAAGGTTAATCAATCACTTTAGCTGTTTTCACATAATATGCACTGGTCTGTCAGGAAACATTTGGATAAAGTTGGAGTGAAAACTTCCACTGTTGGCGATCACACATGCAGCGCACTCTGAATATTTTCAGTTTTGTGAATGTTGAGAATGTTGAGAGGCCCTGTTTCTTATTCAGAGGGATGTGTTTGTTGAACTCTGGAATAAACAGATTGACTCAAAAAGACCCCTCCAGATGGATTCTGTGAAAACCAAGGACTGTGTGATGCTTTAGATCATCTCAACCCTCAACAGCTCATGTTGAGTGAGTTTAATAAAAGCGTCATATAATCGGTCAATGTCTAAGTCAAAACTACCACTCATGACTGTCCCCCCTCCGGTCTCATAACAGAATAAATCTCATTAAAGTTAAAAACACATTACTGATTGTTTTTGGGATGTGACTCCTGAGAGCTCTTTCTGTGTTAAAGCAACAGGTGCTGCAGAGAACCTGCTGCGGTGTAAAACAGATCACAGCATCGACACATGAACAGATGGTCCACAAATTACACCATCAGACAAATTAGAACTGGTGGGAGCAGCGCTGCTGTGTGTGTGTGTGTCTCTTTAGACTGCGCTCGTCTCTGTGGGTATGTGTGTGAGCTCTTTCACTTTAATTGATTACATTTATAGTAATTGATTGAAATACATGTTTCTGCAGCTTGGTGGAGACATGTTGGAGGATTTTGAAACAGAAGGTGTTGATATTGAAGAGGGGGTTCAACTTGAAGATATGAAACAATGAGATATGCAGCCTGTACAGCTGGGTTTAAGTTCAAACCAGGGCAAGTTCAAACAGATATTCACTACGAAGTTCTGATTAATGCATTTTCTAAGCAACAGCAGCAGAACTAACACGAGTCAAGGTCTTTTATTCTCTACAGCTGATATGCATGCAGATATAGTCCATACTCCTGGTTCCTGGTTCCGTATTTCTGCAACAATACGGACCAAACATTGCAATACCACCAGTAACCATGGGGGCAACATTGAGCCGTGTGGCCAACAGGTCAAACCAACACGATGAAGAATAGGGCTGGGTATCTTTGGGTGTTTCACGATTCGATTCAGAATCTATTTTCGATTCAAAACGATTCTGGATTCATGATTCAAAGTCTATTTTTGAACATACTTCAGGATCTACTCCAGTCATCTGTGAGACTGGCTGAATTTCTTGTTATTCCATTTTGCATTCTACTGAGTAAAGAGCTAGCCTTAGCACTTAGCAGGGATTGACTGATTTATCCAACAAAAAAATAAATAACAAATCGATTTTTAGAAGTAATGAATCTATTTAGAATCTCAGAAGATAATAATCTTGATTTTTAGATAAATCTAATTTAGAATACTTCTTCTGAAAATGTTTGAACTTTTTGAGCAAAGACTGTGCGAGTGGGTTAGAAACTACAAAGATATATATGATATATGTTAGCTCGCCCAGGCATAGACAACTACAACAGACTGCGCCCTCTAGTGGAAGCTTTGTTTAACGTCCATCCCAACGTAAAGGACAAGTGGGAGTACAGTGTAGTGAGTAATGTGAGTAATGACTGTGTGCGTTCTCCATCATACCTGGACATGTTATCTGGCGAGCAGGCCGAGTTGTTGCCAGTGGACACGCTGGTGTCCATGCTGTCGGAGCTCTCCAGGCTCAGCGTGTCGTACGGCTGCTCTCCGGCTGACGGGGGCTGGTGGTGCAGGATGGAGTGGTGAACCAGAGGCGGGGGTCCAGCCGAGCTGTGACTCAGCGCGGGGCTGTAGGACATGATGGGCGAGTAGGAGGGAGACGAGGAGGACGAGGTCATGAGGTGGGACTGAGAGCCATGGAGCGCATCCCACTGACACTGAGCCTCGGCCGCCGCTCGCTGTTTGAGCTCGGCCAGACGCCGCCGCTGCTCCTCGATCACCTGATGACCTGAGAGAGGAGGGCGGGGTCAGTGGATTGGTTCTGATTCTGAAACGAGCTGAACCCGCAACCTGCAAGCAACTCCATCCACAAATCAGCAAAAGGTCCTTCTGTGCTGCAGCAGCCTGTAGATCACCATGTTTAAACTGGGACTGGGCAGATTTATTATCTAAAGTGATATATTTATCATATCATATTTACTTTTTATAATGCTTCTAGTTTGAGGATTAACCACTAAATCTTTACAATTACGTTTGTTAATATGCACTTATGTTTTCTTTACACATTTTGAATGGTTAACTGTGAAGTCACTGAATTCCCAAAAACGTTAAAAACACTCTCTTGTGAACAACATATTATCTAGACCTTAGTAAAGTTCAGTGCTCATGTTTCACAGGTTGTTAAACAGGAATTGAATTGTTTCTTCTCAATGCAAACTGACCAGGTGATAAAAAAAAAACTGTAAAACACTGAACAAAGCTGTTTACATTTTAAATCAGTGTTTCTTTGAGGCTCTTTGGTAGGGGCCAAGTAGAGCTACCACTCTGTTTAATGAAGTCATTTCCCTCATCATTTTAAGATGTCTTAAAACTTTAAATATTTTGTTTTTTGACTAGAATTTATATTATTATTTTAATGCATTTTTGCGAGCAGTAAAAACTGCAGTCTGGTGGGGTTATCAGGTTTATTTCTGACTCTTAGATCTATACATAATATGTTTTTTTAAAAGTCAAGCATTATCAACATAAAGTTCTTCCAAATCTGAACACCTCTGTTACTAAGATTGTTTCATTGCCCAGTCCTGATTTAAACCAACATGTTAGCTCAAGAACATCCACAACTGAAACACCACTAAAGGCACCACCATCACCAGCACAGGTCCAACATCTCCAACCCCACAAACCATGCACCACACATTTAAGGATGTGCTCTCTCTGGATAATAAAACACCCACAGTCCTGTAGCCACAAACTTTTCCAAGGATCAAATCCATGCTTCTGTGCACCTGATACTATAAAGTGTAAAATACACATCTGATAAAAAGTAACACCCAGCTCAATAACACCAAAGGAGGAGCCTGCTGAACGCTGAACATGCACAATTTATTCTCCAGAAGCAGCAGGAAGATTCATGGAAGATTGATGGGAGAAGAAAAGGCTGCTCGATGTTTGACAAAAGATGAAAAGAAATCTTTGAGGAGCGAGTGGAGTTAATGGCACACCAGAGATGGAAGAGAGAGAGAGAGAGAGAGAGAGAGAGAGAGAGAGAGAGAGAGAGAGAGAGAGAGAGAGAGAGAGGAGGATAAGAAGAGGAGGGTTAGAAGAAGACAGGGTCTGAAATTAACAGCTGACAAGTGCCAAGTTAAGGTAAACGTTGCCTTTGATGGATGAATAAACAACAGTAACCTGTCAGACTGCTTTAAGGTTTGGATAGGTGTTGAATATTTTAGGTACAGACAGTCTTTGGTCTTCATGTTGAAGCTTCAACACTGATTCCTGATTGGCTGCCAGTTAGACTCTCTGCTGCCGTATAATTACCCGCTTCTCTAGATGGTAAATAATCCATATGTTAGCTTCAATCTTTGAAGCGTTAACACTTGAATAAGAATATTTCTTTGCAGTTTTAGTTCTGACCCTTGGCAGATAAAGACAGACAGTTAAATTCAGACCCAGCTTATGACGTATGAAGAGACAGAAGACCATCAAACAAGAGTGAATCCCGAAGAAAACAAAACCAAGAAACCAAAGGAAATCTTCAGCTCCTCAAAGCAGCGCTCCATGTACCTGCTGATCTTCCCTCTCTGATGGTCTGTGAACATGTCATGGGCTCTGAGGTGCAGCACAGAGACACACACAGGAATGAAGAAAACCTCAAGTACAACAAATGTGTCAGCACCTGCTGGCTGTAACCAGCCAAGAATATAAACACAACACGGCTTCCCTCTGAACTTTTAGTCAAAGTACGCACAATAATAAAATTTACAGACAGTAGAAAGGCAGACTGTTTTTATTGGTAAAATTTGTTGTCCAACCACAAACCACACTTACACTAACAGAGCATGTATGATAACATAAATGCATCATGTGTTGTTGAGGTTAGCATGAATGTCTACCTTTCTGCTGCAGAGCGAGCTGTCTCTTGGTCTCGATGTCCTGCAGGGTTGCAGCCAGGTTCCTGGGCAGACTGCCGGTGCTGTTGGCTGACAGCAGGGGGCTCTGCAGGGTCACAGGGAGCAGGTTTTATTTGGGGTTGAAATAAATATTTTGGATTTGGGGAGAATTTAGAAGAACGTTGCATGTTTAAAATGAACAAGCGGGTCTACCTTGGAGCTTGAGTTGCGTCCCAGTGTGGCTGCTCCGTGCTGCAGGGGGGACACAGAGCCAGACTTAGGCTGATGGAGAGACAGACCCGGGTCACTGTCCAATTTAGAGCGGAACACCTGAGGGAGGAAGAACACAGAGATGAGGAAGTGGTCATGAAACACAATAAAAAAACAGCCATGTGGTGTCAGATACTGTACAGGGCTGCAGGATCATGTTAGATGAACAACTGAAATAACTCGATGGAGGAGTTTTAAGCACCTGCTGGAATAAAAAAATAGTCAAACGCATGATCAGGCGTTATGATGTAAGTTCTGCAGAACACTGTTAGAACAAAATGCTGCAATCAGGCTTCAATGAGGAACATGAATCTTAAAATCTAAAAAATCTAAACTGGCAAAAATATCAAAGAGCCAACAGAAAATACATGAGTCAGGCTGCAGCTTAACACACACACACCTGGAACAGCCTAATCATCCCTCTTATTGAAGAGCTCTTTGATCAGGCCACCTTAAGTTAATGCTGCATTCATGTACCGTGGGAGTTTTTGTGTGTGTGTGTGTGATGTTCAAAGTAGCGACTTGAAAGCGTCCACACATTCGAACTCTTTTAAAGCAGTGATCGTCTTACTCTCCACTTAACACAAACTGACTTCATGTTTTACACCAAAGCCCCCCCCCCCCCCCACCTCTGAAGTTTCTGTCTTTGCCTTTGAGGAGATCATTCATATGCCCTCTGTGATCATGATACCAGACTTATTCTTAAAACCCCTATTTGATTTGGATAAAAATCAAACAATATCTATACCTGTTTGTTTTGCTACCGCTGAAACACAAATAGAAGGGTTAAGGGTCCCTGGCAGCACATTTTGTGTCATTTGCTTGTTTTTTAATCAACAAAAAGACGCAGGCATATTCCTGCACACTTTCTAAATATCACAAAGACATCAGCTAAATATAAAGTCATTGTCCTGCACATGGATTTTGTTCTTAACGTTTGTCAAAGCTCATGTTTATGAAATAGCATTCATGCTTACACCTCCTAATGAGCTGACCAGACCACCATCAGAGCAAGATTCACTTTTATCATCATGTGGCTGTTTTTAATGTCTGGAATCCCTAGAAGTTGGTTTGTGTCAGACAAGGCGAGTTAGACTGTTAAAATGATGCAGGATGACGTTTTTTGTTTTAAAAATAATTACTTATACATGGAAGGGAGAAAATCAACAACAAAAAGATGTAGCACTTTGTCAACAGGGGGCACTTAGGCATAAACTGTATGGCCATCAGGTTTCTTCATTAAAGACTCTTCTGATCAATTTTTAAATAACAAGAAACTTCAACATTATACCGGTCAGTTCTCAGTGTTATTTCCTGTGGTTGGGTCTAATTCAGGTTTTAAATCTAAATTAGTCCAGGCTCTTACCCTCCTTCCCCTGAGCTTCAGAATGTTTTAAATCCTAACATCTCTTAGTCTGTCGTCATCTGTCGTCTCTTTAAAGGTTTTCCATCTTTGTCTTCCATCTTTAACTTTATCTGAACAGTATCTACATATCTACTTGTTTTTCTTCAGCCTTGTTTTTATTTCTTTATTGCTTCATGAAGATCTTGCTTTTGCTGTGTATGCGCTAAATATGACGTTTATGTGGACTGGTCAGGTGAAGGCGGCTCTTGTTAAGCTTTATGAGATATTTTTGACAAGACATCAAGCACAAACACTTGCTAAGATTTGAGTTTTTGTAGGGTGTCAAAGTACTTTCTACTCGATTCTAAAGTTGTAATTCTTAAGGGTTCAGCTTCCTGTCTTTATTGTAATAAATTGCGGGTTATAACTTGGAGAAATCTGCAGCTGGACTAACTTACTAACAGTCCACTTGAGCCCCGATGTGGGCCGATGAATTATGGGTAAAGACAGTCAGTAGTATTTTGCAGACTTTCTGGTACGACCCAGCCTGTGTCTGGGGGGTCCACAACACCGGTGGAGTCCAGACATCTGGATTCAGCAAAAAAAAAGGTCCAACATGCAGCTGTGCCCTAGATTTGGTTTTAATTTTTCAGACTGAAATTAAGACGCTCTGTCTTTACTTAATGATGCAAAGGTGAACAGGAAGCAACTACCATTTACCAACCAACACACTTTTTTTAAAAATCATTCACAGGCTCTTAAGTTTTGTGATTTAGTTGAACTGAAAACTGCATCGTTTATGTTCTCAGCACAAAAATCACTTCTTAACTGTATTCAGAGGATGTTTAAAACCAGAGAGAGGCGGTATTAACTTGAGGAATGGGAATATTTAGAAGAATAAGAAGTGATTCAAAGCAGAATTATGAAGCCTTAAAGGTGGTAATGTAAACTTGTGGAGCAGCTTGGACAATAAGTCACAAACATGTAGCTCACGCTGTGCATTTATAAATCTTCAAATGAAAATGAGAATAAAATGTTTTTGTAACCTCAGATTTGTTTTGTATTTCTCTAGAAAGTTTATAACATGTTGATTTGATTTAAATTGACTGGTTAAAGAGTTTCCTATGAGTGTGATCTCTAAAAAGAAAAGCTATTATAAGCTTCAGCCTTCACATTTTTCCATCCATATATGATTTCAGGATTTATATATCTGTATCCCTCAGTCTACTTGTATGTAACTTGCATACAACTCCAATCTGTTTTGTAATTAAAGAAATGTTAATGCAGACTGAAAGAAAAACATCTACTTCTCGAGGCGACCCTCTCGTCTCCATGTGATGTAAATGCAGCTTCAGTGAACACCTGACATGTCTTCAAAGCTTCTTTAAGATTTGTTGAGTCGAGTAAATAACAGCACACACAAACAGCAGAAGAATGAGGGGGGAAGAACACAGGGAGGAGAGAGGAGAAAAAAGGCCCTGTATACCTGCAGCACATGCCGGCGGCCCGACTGAGACTTGGCTGGCAGAGGGGGAGGACAGAGCAGGCTGGAGCCAGCCATCAGCTCCTGGTACCACTGCTCTAAATCTAGCTTAGGCAGGTGAGACCTGCTGCCCTCAGGCTGGTACTGGAGAGCACAGAGAGAGAGGTGAAGCACGTAGAGAGGAGAGAGGGAAACATGAAGAAGGGACAGGAGAAAACAAGAGGAGATTAGAAAGCATTCAAAGACAGCAGAGAGACAGTAGAAACGTTTGTTTTTACACACCCTCAAAAGCTGTAATTAAAGGATTTCTTATACTTGAAAATGTTTCTTAAATATCTTGAACACATTTCTGTTGTCAGCTCTATTATTCCTCACACCCTCGGGCTGCTATAACCCTGTTTTACATGTCTCTTTTCTAACTCTCTGCTGCTGCAATGACCCAGTTTCTCGCAAGAACGTTTAAGTTTCATCTCAATTTTAATGTTTTACTTCAGTTCAGCCGTCCATAGAGCCTGCAGTGTGTCTGCACAACAAGATTTCATTTCATTTTTACAGAAGTAAGAAGCAACACTTCACTGTTCAGTCTCAGTTCTTACAACCACATTTTAAAACAGCTGATAGAAGTCATTCTTTAAAGCTTAGCTCTGGTGCAATCATCTCAATTAAAGATACAGAAGGCTGTAAATGTGATGTCAGAAATTATGTCTTATGTGAGTAAAGTCAGTGCTTTGACTGCGAGCCATCCTTTTCGGATCTCTGGGATACAATAGGAGTGACTGGTGACTGTGACTGGAGTACAACAGACAGAAACAGCTCCAGACTCTCACAGTGACATCACACGGTTTAAAGTCTTTAGCCACAGCAGTAAATACAGTATTATCCTGAACACTGAAAGGAAAAGAGACTGAACGTTTGCAACATTTTTATACGTGTGCAATTATTTTAGAGTTTTGCACAACTGATAGCAGCATGCATCTTAAAATAAACGTTTGGAAAAACACAACAGATTCTGCACAAAGTTTAGAGGGAATACGGCTTCAGCATCGGCACATTGTTTTACCTTTTAAATAAATATATTAGAAAATGTGGATGGAAAACTGGTTTTTTTTGTAGCCTTATTAAACTACTACTGATTGATTCCTAAAGTGGGCTCTTCACCTACAGACCAAAGCATGCTGACTCCAGCAGTGAAAACATGATCTGTGTGAGAACACTTAAGAGTAAAATCCTCTTAAAATAGTCAATAAGCTCATTTTCATTTTCCTGTTAGTGTTTTATAAATAAAGTTTGGGTTTAATCTGTGACAGTGGGTACATAAAAAGGAAAGAAGGAGGGAAGGTAGGGAGGGAGGGAGGGAGGAAGGTAGGAAGACAGCACACACCTCCACAGAGAGAGAGAGGGAGGAGCCGTGAGGAGAGGGGAGGCAGGAGAAGGCGGGGTCTACTGCTCCAGACTGCAGGTGCTGGCGAAGCGGCGACGTAGGGGATGACTCCAGCTTTGGCATCCCGTACATCTGACTTAACTGGCCCACTGTCACATACTCCTTTATGAACACACACACACACGCACGCACACACACACATGCACATGGTGGAGGAGAGAACACAGAAGAGAGGAGCACAGAGAGGGAAAACATGGTGAAAAGAGGGAAACATATCCAGGTGTGACTTCCTGTCTGATAAAGGTGTGAGAGGAGGAAGAGTCAAACAGTGTACACACACACACACACACACACACACACACACACACACACACACACACACACACACACACACACACACACACACACACACACACACACACACACACACACACACACACACACACACACACACACACACACACACACACACACGAAACGTGTCACGGTACCTTTACACATCCAACACATATCTCATTTGTATCATTGGTGGTAACCAATAAATGCTTTTTATAATCTGCCAAACTGTATCATAATTTGTGTTTTAGAAGAAACATTGAAAGTGTGAGGCAAAGGACATGAACATATTCTCGTCTTTTATTTTTTTTATAATGCTGTGTTTTTTTTATACTGCAGTATGTTCTCATCTACAGAAGCCTTAAGTGGACATACAACACTCTGTTGGCCATGAGTCAGGTTTGATGGTTTTTTTCCCCAAGATAACGACTTATTTATCTCATCTATCTCGGGATAAGGACTGAGATAACGACTTCATTTATCAACTTTAACTTATGAATCACTGATTGCACATCTCCCTATGTCAATAATGTCCACTTACAACTCTGTTTTTGCACATTTACATTTAATCTTTCATATTTAAGACTAGTAATGCTAAGTTAAATCCTAGTTGTATATATTCTCATTCTTAGTTTTGATATTTTTAGTGCTTATTTACTTTGTATTTAATATTATATTGTGTTTAGATTTGCTAATATTGTGTTTTTTGCTAATATTGTGTGTTGGATAACCTGCTGCTGTAACACCACAATTTCCCAGTTTGGGATCAATAAAGTAATTCTATTCTATTCTATTTCATGCCTTTTCTCGAGATCAAGACAAATGAACTCATGATCAGATGGAAAACCTTTGTTGTTAACACGAGATAACAAGATAAATAAGTTGAGATCTTCAGAAAACAACTGAAATGTGCCCGTGATCACAGTAAAACAGATTAAATTAAAATGTACGGATGTATCCATACTGACGGCTTCTGTGTATTAATCAGGGAGAGAGAATTGTTATATCTCCAAAGATGCTTTTTCATACTTTAAACATAACCTGTGTACAAATGATGAAAATCATTTTGGAATGATTTGTTACAGTGTACTTCCTGCTGTAGTTGATGTATAACAGCAGCTGTTGGTTGACCTGCATTTATCACTCTGTCTCTGTTTCGCAGACACAGATCTAAAGAGCGGCTTTGGGGGGAACAAAGGGGGAGAACACAGGCTGCTTACACACTTAAAGTCTCATGTAGCAGAGCGCAAAGCAACTGTTCAAGAGCACACCAGCAGAGGGAGCAACATGACATGGAAATGAAATGATGGAGAGAAGGAAACAAGAGAGAGAAAGAGCAGGAAGTAAAGAAATGAATCAGGAAAGAGAGAGAGGGAGAGTGATGGTACCTCGCCAGCTAACGCAGCATCAACAGCAAACGAGCGGCCGCGAGAGGAGGGCATGCTGCTGTCATTGTGGCCGCTGCTGCCGTACATCTTATAGACATCCGACAGATTCATGTACTCCTGAGCACCAGCCAACGACAACAACAACAACAACAACAACTGTCAGACAGGACGAGCAGCCATGAGGACATCACTGCACCGTATGCACAGTGCGTAACACACACACAGAGCTGAGAGGGATTAGGGAAGAGGGAGGAGACCCACATTAACCTTTAAGTGCTACACACAGTGTGCGTGACGACAGACAAACAGATACACACCGAGCAACAGAAGGTGTGACTTTAGCATCACAGCTGGCTGACACACAGGGAGGTCACACACAGGTACGTCTGTTGGCTGTAACAATGACCAGAGATGTTGTGGGAAAAGAAAAGACGCTGGAAATCCTCAAAGGGGGTTTCTGGTACTTTTCAAGTTTCTGCCCAACTTATAAAATATTTTTTTGCCTAAAGAACAGGCTGTAATGGATGCAACACTTCCCTGTACCATCCACCAAAAGTGTTGTTTTTTTTTACCACTAACAGGCTGAGATTTATATCAAAATGCCTGAAAACATTAAAGAGAGGCTCCCTTCATAGATAGACCTTTTATTCCACTCAAAAAAAAAGCAGTCACATGGTTTTTTAATCTCACCAAACTCCATTCTAAAAATCAGTCATTTCATTGCATTTCACTGGAGCTGAATGTCTGCTACTTTGATCTGTTACTTTGTTTGTGTAATTGTGTCCGGTCCTTGTGTTCTGTGTTTCAAACAGTTAGCTCAGATCATTACACGACTCTCCTCAGACAAAACAAATACACAAACAAGGAATAGAACAAGTCACAAGAAGAGAAGAACGTCTCGTGTTCTGCAGGGTAGAATTACTGTTTTTGTCAATGGAGTCTGGTGTCTCTGAAAAAACTGATGTAACAGCTGTTTCTGGATTTTAAAAAAAGCATCTTGCTCTGTATTTGTGGGGATACTTTCTGAAATGTTGTCGGACACTTGGAATAACTTTCTAAGCTTTTCAGTGGTAAAAACAAGAACTTTTTAGATCAGGTGCATTTGACCTCAGGGACTTTGTTGTCCCCATTACCGCCTGTTTTGCAGCTGCAAGCTGAAGCAATATACTGAAGCAATACTAAAACGTTTTGCTTATGAGTCTTATTGACCTAAAAATGTATTGAATATAATTATGTTCTTTTAATATATCACCTGGTACATCTCTGGGCTTGAAACAGACACCACACAGATGAACTGAAAGTGTCTGTGCTGGCTCCTCCTTTCACATAGTTGCAGAAAACTATGGTTTACTTCGAGAGGCAACAGGACCAAACACAGCGAGTCACAGGTGCAATCAGACTCCAGGTGGAAACGGTGACACTGCCAGTACCATGGTGAACCTTCAGGGAGGGTTATGCACAGACGGTAGAGGGGGAAGCGGTGGGCTTCATGCAGGGAAACATTAGTCTGGTTACCTCCGTAGGGCTGCTGGGGTACAACTGACAGGTAGGGGAGGGGTGTAAGTAGGAAGAAGAGGCTCGACAGAGGGAATGCTGGGAGGAGTGGATATCCTCCAACAACAGGTCGACCTCGCTGATATGGAGCGCTGCCTGTTTTAACAGTTCAGGAATAAAGTACCTTTAACGTCCACAGAGAACATATGAAGCACTGAATCCAATATGTTATAATATCACTGTCTATTGTCCTCCCTCTGTTACAGCTTCTGTTAGGTTGGTCCACTTAGGCTACATCCTCACTAACATGTTTCTGTTTCAAAGTGCATACCTTTAATTATGTTTACATGTAGCTTCCAAACATCTCCACAACTCATTAAGTGGACATGTAGTAGTGAAGACGTAGCCTCATAGTCAGATAACAAAGTTAGCTTAGTTAGCGCTACACACTTAGCATGGAGAACTCAACATTAGAGCCACAGAATAACCCTGCTCATTAGTCTGGTTAAACTGTGTTCAGCTGTTAGACCAGGTTATCACTAAGTTTGCACACCAACAAACGCTGCGAGTTAACAAGGTGAATGTGGTGAGGAATGACAGCTCCAGAGAATCCATGTGTGTTTGTGTCTCCTCATCACTTTTCTTACCTCTCTCATCGCAGTGGAGGACTTGGGGAAGCTTTTCCCGCCCGTCAGGCTGTGGTATCTCTTCTCTAAGGCTGACAGTCGCTCCTTCTCCTGCAACAGAAAGACACAAGTTTGTTTTTTTAAGGGAGTGAAAATATAATTACTGTAAACTGGGGAACTTTCTGTAGCTCTTCTTTTCATTTGAAAAGTCACGTTTGGTTAATATAAAGTACATAATAAACTCACAGCAAGAGGGTGGAGCTTGTTTCTGATGTCAGTATTTAATCAACAAGTTAAGTAATTGTACTTTCTGTATAATTTCAAAATATATAACACTAATAGTGTTTAAAGTTTCTAGTCAGACCTCACTCTATCTGTCCTGTCAGGCAGAATGATGACCAGCAGGCATGAGTGTGATGCTCTAGAGAATTTCAAATGAGGAAATAAAGCTCATGTCCTGACAGCTTTGTGATGTTACACTTCAATATGATATCAGAATCCGTTTCATGGTTCTTTTTTTGCACATTTAGCACAAAGTGGAAAAGCTTAACAAATGCCCTTAAAAATTAGATTCACCACAATTCTACGGTGGCTGGGGAGTGCAAAACTAAATTACAAAGCAGGAAACACTTTAACAAAGCTTGAGAAAAATGTATATTTTGGAATTATTTTACATTTTATTAACCTAAATTACAAAAATAAAATACTTTATCCACGAACAAAATAAATGTACCTTTCAAAAAACAAATTTACAACATGTGAAACACTTTTCAACTTTTTTATAGACGATAGATTCTTGCCGGAAAGGGATTGTACCAAATACCAGAAGTGACCTGGAAGTGAGCAGTCAGTTAGTTTGTTCTGACGGAAAGAATGTGTAAAATGTGTTATACTGAGTTTATGGTGACACAATGATGGTTTATCAGTTTTGTGGAAAAACACCTCTGACAGTTAACGCACAGTCTTTTCACCATAACAAATGAAGTGGCCGCTCATTTCCGGGTCACTTCGGCCACCTGTTTCACTCAACGCGTGTGAAAGTGTTTCACATCTTGTAAAGTGTTTCGTTTTAGTATTTTTGTTTTATAAAATGTTTTTAAAAATGTCAATTTGTCTCAAGCTCTGTAAAAGTGTTTCACACTTTGTCATTTTTTACTTCCCAGCCTCCGTACAATTTAAATCATGAATCGTTAACAAAGTGAAGTGTGATGTATGCTTCACCAGAAAAAAATCTCAATGCAGAGCCAGATTATTACTTATCAAATGTTAATGTTTAAAATGAAGATATAGCTTCAAGTGTCGAGCTGCAGTTGCTATGTACGTACCTTCTGGAGCATTTGCAGAGTGAGGGTTCTGTCTTTGGCCAGCCGCTCGCACTCCTGAGTGGCCTGCAGGACGAGCTGGTTAGCCTGGTTCTCCAGAGCAGACACCTTCTCCTGAAGAGGACGTCACAGAAAAGATCAAATCTCTGATGCAGACTGTGACTGAAGCATGCAAAGTATCACACACACATGACTTAAATCAACTTTAAAACCCTCTATGTGGTAAAAAACCAACAGTCTGCATCATGTGAGCAGCTGTAAGAAACATCACATCCTACACTGATATTGCCTCTTTTGCTTATGACTGAACCGTATTTGTTTGTGAATGAACACTTCATATCCTCTAAGCACATTCCTGAAGCTCTACACTGCTTACACAGTGAGATATTTCCCATTGGCTTCTTCCGCTCTAAAGCAATGAAAACCACCAGATGTTCCCCGCCGCCTGTCGAGCATTTCCTCACCTTCCTCTTGGCCACACTGCCGTGGTACTCGACTCTCTCCTGCAGCAGCTGCTGGGTGATGGTTTCTCGCTCCTCCTCCAGGCTGCTCTCTCTCTCCAGCTGCTGAAACTCCAGGTCCTCAAACTTTTTGGTGCCTGCTTCCAGAGCCTCTCCGTCCTGATGGAGGCACGCACATGTCAGCGGGTTACCATCATAAGAAACTGGAAAACTCACTTTCGTTTATACACTGCTCATTCTGCAGCCAGCCACTATTCTCAGACTAGCCGACAGAAAAGAAAAAAAAAAGAAAAAAAAACACCTTTTACATCTGAAAGAATGAGGAATATTTGTGAAAGCTTGGGAGGCTCTTTTGGAGGGCAACTATAAACACACCGTGCTCAGTCAAGCAGCCAGCTATGAAGAACATGCTTCTACTGCAGCACAGCTACAGTTATGTGTGTGTGTGTGTGCGTGTGCTACCAACGAGACCTACAACACACAGGAGACAATGGCCAGTACTTTAAATTAGACTTGTAATCATTTGATTCTTCTCTATGCTGCTTTCTTTTCCTGGTGGAGAACCAGCTTGCCCTTGATGCTTTCGCTCTGTGACTATGGAGATGCTAACAAGTAAAAAAAAAAAATCTAATCGATTCAGGACGTCGAGTGTTTCAGTCTGAACCCTCTTGAGAGTCTTTGTAGCCCCTTAAAGGACCTGACAGTCAGGAAAGTCAGCTCCCAGATTGAAATGACTGCAATTCATTTTTGCAAGTAGAAAAAACAAAGAACTTAAAAGTCAAACAACTTGTGAGGCACTTCTGTTCTGTGTTTGGACTTCATAAAGCAGCTGAGACTGAAGTGTGCTTGTGGGCGTGACATCCCAAAAGTTAATTCAGACCAAATGATTCAGCAAATCAAGGGGGCGTGGCCATGACATCTGTCAATCAATTACCCTACAGAAGTGAGAGGAAGAAGATGCTACAGGTGTTGGGCTGTTAAAAAAAAAGCTCTATTAGGGATAATGTGTGTTTTTCTTGTAACTTATTCCGTTGCTACTCTAGGTTCCAAAAAAATGTATAACAATCTGCTGTGTGAATAATTTTCTCGTCTTTATTGTATAAGAAAGGGAGGTATTATCAATGCTAGCCCATGTACGCCAGCTGTCCCCGGTTAGCCTTTACGTTACTATGAAGGGGAATATCAGAAGAACAGCCAGATGCCTGTGATAAAATGAGGAAGAGTTCAGTTATTTTTTTCACCTCTTTGTAGCATTGTGTGATGTTTAACTTCTCAATGTTCTTCATTTCAGCACAGCTGTCTGACTGTTCTTCTGATTCTTCTTAAAAGTAGATTGGAAGCTAACCATAGCCTAAAAACTGTGTTTTTTCCCTCTTAAAATGAAGACTATATTCTCTTAATATTGCAAAATTGTTCACCAAATCTCAGATGTTATTTTTCCTTCAGTGTGGCCCTTTTACTCTGTTGTACAAGAAAAAGAGAAACCCACACAAAACCATAACTTTTTTTGTATAACAAGCCGATATCTCCTAAAAATAAGTGAGCTTTGTATCTAAACTTATGGAAAACTCTTTTAAAGTGAAATGAGAGTATAATGAGAAAATATGAACTCATTACCACTTGCACATTTAAAAAAATAAAGGCTTTTCATTGCAGTGACTTCCAGGATCTTTTATCCCCATCATACTGGCAGGATTAGGCTTCTGCAGGATTTTGATCACAGAACATTATCGTCAATAAAAACATGTCTCCTCGCCATCAAAGTTTCTAAAAGTGACTCATCATTTCTTTCTGTCTGAGTGGTAAACCAAACATGCAGCATAAATGAACATGAGAGAAATCAAAGGACGATTAGGAGTGGAAGCAGAGAATGGATCTAGTCAGGGCCTACGTTAATTGATTAGTGAGCAGTTATGCAAATTAAGCGAGCCGGGACAAATCACAGGACAGATTCATACATGCAGCACGGCGTGACCACGTCACACCACGCACGTTTGACCAAAATGCATCACGAGCAGCTGAAGGTACCAGGAGTATTGTTTGTGTGTGTGTGTGTGTGTGTGTGTGTGTGTGTGTGTGTGTGTGTGTGTGTGTGTGTGTGTGTGTGTGTGTGTGTGTGTGTGTGTGTAGGGGGGTCAGTGTCATGTAGGTGAGGTGTATGAGGGAGGAGGGAGAAGAATCTGGAGCTGGAGGTAACGGTACGTCTATGAGAGGCACCGAGAGGCTTTTTATAGACATACTGAGGATGTGTGTGTGTGTGTGTGTGTGTGTGTGTGTGTGTGTGTGTGTGTGTGTGTGTGTGTGTGTGTGTGTGTGTGTAGATTGCATGTAGAGAAGCCCTGAGAAGGGTTAAAGGTGCCAGTAGCACTATGTGTGATGCCATGTGATGAGTGCTGGCACAAAAACAGCCTTACTGAGACACGGAGCTGAGGTTCCTATGCTTTCATTCTGACTTTGTGTCTTTAAGGCTTTATATTTTTCACACTTAATTATAATAGAAATCAAGTATCTCCTCTGAAAATAACTCTGTGAGTCATGACTGTCTACAATGGGTGTAACACCCGAGTCCCACTGTCTGTGATGTTTTCAGAGTTTTCAGAGTCCTATCTTCACTTTGTTTACATCGCCCGGACGGCCGGCTGACTCCTCCCCTCGTGTATAAAAGTTGTTTAATTGAGGGACTAGAGAAAAGAAGAATAACATACTGTACTCACTACTTAACTGTGTTTCTAGATCACGCTCATTTCAGGTAAATTTACATGCAGTGTGAAGATACGAGCATAATAAAGATCGCTAGCATTAGCATGCTAACACAACAATGCAGCGCAAGTTGTTTTGGTTTTATGCTGGTGCTCAAGGGCGACATCTGCTGGATCAAAATATTGCATATAAAGCCTTTAAGCTCATAATTAGAACTAAAAAAATGATTTCCATAAAACCATCATAACAGCTTAGATATAAATACTATATCACAGCCACATTAGAGAATAAAATCTGACATGATCATTACTAGATGGATGATCTTAAAAAGCCTGGAGCAGGTTGGAAGATGGCAACAATGTGCATGGAAGCTTAAAGGTAAGATTGTCAAATGTTTAAATACTTCGGATTTTTACTACAATCCTAATTAAGTTGAAAAACTCTGGTATTGTGACAACTCACTAAATGGTTGTGGGTGCATGATGGCAGAGATTTAAGTGAAGGTGTGTGAGTGAAGTAGTGACATTGTTTATGTAGTTTCAATTCTGATACAGAATGAAAGTCCATGGTTGGAGGATGTTGGTGGGGTGGGGGTGGGGGTGGGTGGGGGGTGGGGGGGGATTCCAGGTGCTTCTGATTGACTGAAGACCCACCCTTTTGAGCTGTTCCTGTAACTGTTCCCGCAGGGACTCGGGACAATTATGAAGCTGGTTCTTCAGCTCAGCGTAGCCCTCCTGGAGGCTCTGCAGGGCCCGCCGCTCGGCCTCAACATTAGCCCTCTCCTAGAAAGACACAACACATACCCACACACAGGATGGATGGACGAGGGTTAATAGAGAGAGAGAGAGAGAGAGAGAGAAACACACTGCTGAAAATCCACACCATGCAAATATCAAAGCTGTGGGGTGTTAGCATAGACATGTCGACACAGAGGGCGCAGGGAATCATTAAAGGCACATTAACCTACCTGCCTTCATATATTAAATATGTCTGGGAGAAAAAATGGCAGCCTAAGTGTAGAAAGGTTTGGGATTGCTCCAGTAGTTTGCTTTACACAGCAGCTCTTAAACACACTGCAATGGCTTCAATATAACCAAATACATGCTCTACTAGTCCATGATTAACCTTATGTCTCCATGGTAACCAAGTAATGACACATCTTGTATTACAATCTAACTAGTTAACTTGAAGAGTTTAGTGTGAACTTCAAGACCAAACTCAAACAGAGCTGCTGCAGCAGGACACTGAGAGTCATTCAGACGACAACATTTGAGCTGATATTGAATATTCAACTGAAGATTGAAATCCTCCCCACTTTGAGATATTCTGTGTTCTCAGACATTATTATGCATCACATTCAAATACTAAGATCTTGTTTTTTCTATGGACACTCATTCATCTACTCATGCTCTAATAATACAATCACGAATGAAACCTTTTACAATTGTTGGTCATCATTAAGAAACACGGACAAAAACTTTATCAACAGATGATTTCTACAACCAAAACTAAGCTGGTAAATGTGCTTTATTGCAACAGTTCAAATGTGCAACATGTTGGTGAAAAGAAAAAAAAAGAGAATCCCTAAAACCCTTGAAGAGAACATGCTAGATAGATTCCCCTGCCCACTATAGAAACACCTTATTCAAGGTCTCCTCCACCACCCATGCACTGCACCTCCACTACCTACGACTACAGATCAGAACCAGCCACTGGAGGGCAGGTTTTCTCTGGCTCCACCTGGTCCGTCATGCACACAGTAAAGACAGAGGCGAGCACATTGGGTTTAGGATTGCAGTAAGTGTGAGTGCTGAAGAAGCAGAGAGAGGGTTAAGGAGGTTAATGGAGGTCGGTTATTTAGCGGAGACCTGCTAATAAGGAAACAGATGAGGGGGAGCTGAGCAGAGGGCAAAACCACTAAGATGAAAAACATGCAGGAGAGAACACCCGAGGAGCTAAGTCCAGCCCTGGCTCTCAAGTCTGTGATTATCTGTGCAAGAAATTCAATTGTCCAAGTCGAGGATGCTTGGAACAGACCCGATGAGGAACGAAAACAGCAGAATGTTTAAGAGACTTTAAAGGAACAGGCAGTGAGTGTATCAGTGTCTCTTTTCTGACTCTCAAAGTTTGTACTCGACCTAAAAGACAACTGAACATGAGAACTTCTTTTCTGTACCTTGTCTTTCTCCCTCTGGATGGCGCTCTCCAGCTCGTCCAGCTTGTGCTGCAGCCGAGCGATGACGTCTGTCTCAGCCTCGATCTGGTCCAGCTCCGCCTGCCTCTCGCCCTGCAGCAAGGCGCGCTCCATCTCTGCCTGGAAGAACAAAACCAGGAAAAGTCACAGTGAGCTGAGGCTAATACAGACTGAGCTTCAGACCTCTGTGGAGTCATCTCATCTTTTGCTCTGAAATCATATAGTTTGATCACTCCCATGTGTTCTACCTCTTGTTTGGACTCCTGCAGCTGTTGCTCCAGCTCCATCAGCCGGGTTTTGAACTCATCGATCTGCGCAAGAACGCGAACCCGCTCGTCCTCCAAGTAGCCGAGCTCCAGGCGACCTGTGCTGCCTGAAGTGGAGTCCTCATGCTGCAGAGAGAGGAGAATCAGTCAGGCTCTTAACAAAGGAAGGGAGGCAAGGAGAGAAAGGTAGAGAGTGGCAAAATAATCCTCAAGGTAAGGCTGCAAAATGATCAAAACGTCAACATTTTTAGATGCCACATGTCTCAGAATTACAAAAATATTTGCTATTTTATGATCAATTGTATCAAAAAGTCACAAAGCTTGGAGAAAACTTCAAACAGTCAAATTTCAAACCGAAAGATCATTTAAGTGAAAGATCTGAAATGATTCTCAAGTCTTTGTGCACCTCTTAAAGATGCAAAAGTGGAACGCTGGTGGCCAAGTGGTTAGGGCACGTGCCCAGTGTACAGAGGCTGTAGTCCTCCCCCACTATCCCTCAACAATTAAAGGCACTGAAGCCAAAAACAAATCTTAAAAGATGCAAAGGTAACATTTACATTTCTTTCCAACAGAGAGGAAAGGAGGAGATAAATGTCTAAATCGCATGACTAAGCAGTTTATACAGCGTGCAGCAGTTACATGCCATGTGCACAGTGACACGCACGCACGCACGCACACGCACGCACACACGCAGAGTGAGCAGAGTGGACGTGAGGAGCCAATCAGCGGATAAACACATACAGTATGGGGTGCGCCAAAGTAGTGATGAGATAGACAGGCTCGCTGATGGTAAAGTAAAGCATGGATAAAAATACATGATAGCGTAAACTTATATGGACGTTGTTTATTTAGGTCAGTTTTTCTTATAATTAGCTTAATTACGTGGCCCCAGCAGTGAATCGCCTTAGCTTCTGTACCGACACTCTGACTGGGGCCAAGCTGACCATCTCACCTGCAGCTACCTCATACAACCCCACCTTAAAAAAACAGAACTATCCCTTTAAGAAGCCCTATTCAAGCAAAGCCATGCACACCATATGCACATGCTGGTTCCACAGCGGCATGCAGATGGCGTCTCTGCCGGGAAACAGCGTTCCCTCTGACCTGTCTGTCTCCATTGTGCAGTGCTGAGGCTGTGCTTGGAGCGGGAGACGTCCTCACCTCCTGATGAGTGCTCTCTGTGCTACTACACTCCTCCTTCAGGTTCTCCTCATCGCTCTCCCTCTGTCTCTGCGCCAGGCGGAACGAGACCGAGGACGGCGTTCCTCCCAGGATGTTTTCCAGGGACGGTCTGCGAGCTAAACCGTCCGTCAGCCCCCCCGGGAAACCCGCCCTCCCCGAGCCGAGAGGGTCCAGGCTGCCGGGCTCTCCTTTGTTGTACTCAGCACAGAGGTTCAGGATGGTCTCCAGTCGCTGTCTCTCCTGTTGGAAAAAACACAAACAGACAAAGAGCCGTATCAGATCAGGACCGTTTTAGATCCTTCTTCCTTAACTCCTTTCCTCAACACACTCTTATACACACTAACCTTAAATGAGTGAGTCCTGAGTCCATGTCAAACACAACACACGTGAATGGACTTAAATGCTGCTAAACTATCCAAACAGGAGAATAACAAGAAGTGAAGCTGGGAAATAAAACATTCTTCAGGGAATGGTGAAACATTTTATGTTAATAAGTGATGAACAAACCACGCCAAAGTTCACGCCAACGTTCACGCCAACGTTCCTCAGATAGCAACGTTTGAACAACACTTAAGGAAACTCTTCTGTAAAACCGAGAAAAGGTGAGAATAAACTCCTTCCTTTATTTTTTTATTTGTATAGCGACAAGTATTAATCACATGAACCGTTGCCACACTCTAAAGCATGCATATCTTCAGCTAACATGCAATGCTATGTCCCTAGATGGGCCTTTAAAATACAAAAAATTCAACAACAAATACACAAGACAGACACTGTACTGAAAAGTTGCCATCATATTTGTGCAATTTAGTCAGTGTTCATGAGATTGCCTGCTATTTTTTGGGAATAAAAAACAAGACATTATCTGATATTGGGTGCCTTGGACTTCTGTTTTTGTTACCTTACTCTTTAAAACCTGAAACAAGTTTTAATATCATTTGATTTTTTCTAGTATCATGTATCAAAGTTTCACAATGCAGTATCGTGACAACCCTAGTTTGCCTCAGTTTTATTGAGAGCAGCAGATATGACGTCTGTCACCCTTGAAACAACACAGCAGTTCACATGTTCCTCTCCCGCGGGTGCTCCATGGGACCCTGCGGCCGGTTGTCCAGCTGTCACTGTGAGGGGTCAGGCCACCTATGGGGGGCTCGGGCAGACCGTGCCAGCAGGGTGGCCTCTGAGCTCTAAATGTCAGCTGCTGTCTGCAGACACAGCGTCTCTGAAGGTTTGCAGAGCGACCACAGCACTGTGAGCTTTCAGACATGGTGTTTAGGAGAAAAGATTCAGATGTTTGGTGAAGAAGATCAGACATTAAGAACTCACTGCCGTTTGTACTCACTAGAAAGAAAACAATGTAACCCTAAGGTAAATACTACGGGAGAGCTCACACCTCATTTCAATCTGATTTCTGTTGGTTGTGATCATAGATTTATAAAGATACAGTTAGTATTTGTTCCTTTTATTTCACATCAACAACCATGTCTTCACTTCCTGTAGATTTTCAAATTAGTCAATACATTCTTAAACTATAATTATGTTCATAAGACATTACTAAATATTGATAAAGTTTGCTGGCTTAGTTCAGTTCATTCCAGGAAAAGATGACAAACAATCAAACAATATGTCAATGTTGTATTTTGGAAAAAAAAAGAAAAACACTATCACTAAATAATACCATTTTGAATGCCAAGACAAAAATACAAGTTCCAGGCCAGTCATGTTGAATACATTTGTGAAGCTTCCTTTACAAAATATACCACAAACATCAGAAGCATCTTTAAATCGTAAATGGACTTGAGCTTGTACAGTTCCTTTCTAGTCTTTTGAATATTTAAAGTGCTTTTATACACCGCAGCAGGTCACACCTACACATTCACACACTGATGGTAGAGGCTGCTGTGTAAAGTTGCCATCAGTATATTAACTATTCCATTCTTACAGACGACGCAGCGGGAGCAACTTGGGGTTAAGTGTCTTGCCTGAGGACATTTTTATCATGATGCTGGAGCATCTCTGTTGGGCTTCATCTTTCATGTTTTATGAATTTATGCACTTGATGTTTGGATTATTTATTAGTGTTATGTATGTCTCCAGCTGCAAACAAATTTCCCTGTGGGGACAATAAAGATACCTTTGACCTTTGACCTACGACATCGGACATGTGGCTGCAGGAGCTGGGGATCGAACCCCTGACCTTCCGGTTGAGAGACGACCGACTCTACCAACTGAGCCAAAGGCGTCCCAATTTAAATATATTCAATTTAAAAAAATCAGTCATATAGCTGATGAGAAACTCCCCTCTGTATACACAGGTCTTCATGAAAGGACAATATGTGAGACTCAAAAAACACTGTGTGACTTTACACTCTTACAATCTATTTCTTGTCATGTGGGAACACTTGGCAGTTAAATTGTTCTCACCCACACGCAAAATACTCGAGTGCATCTCCTCCTTCAGAGTGCAGCGAGGGAGGAGATGCATCTGCGTGATTAGGAGCTGCAGCCCCACCATTAGCTTCAACCTATAATCTGGAAACAGCTCGCTTTTCACCGAGTGGGTGGGAGTAAAAAAAGACCCCTTTGGGCTGTTGAACAGAGCTGGATATTCACAAGAGAAGGAGTCAAACTTCAAACATTAAGTGGCAACTACTCGTGAGTCCTCCCACTCAACATCTGCTTGAACACACACTCCGATTAGACCCCTTAACTCTGACGCCTGTCTCATTTGCTCAAGATTGAAACCCAGCTCTATGATTGTCTCCTTTAAATTGCCAGACAGCCTTTAGGCGACACGACCTGTGAGATAGACGACGAGAGAGGATCACAGACATGTTTCATAGCATTTAACGTGTTTGGCTGCAACATAAAATCTACTTGACACAGCATCAAATGTGTTCAAATGACGCTCCTAATCAAACGCATGATGACTGATTTGCTGGAACCTTTGCTTTACATGGTTCTTCAAGAGCTGCAAGAATGTGTGTGAAAATATTTAGGTTGTTGCTGTCACAGGCACAAAATGATCCTTCAGTGTACAGGTCTCTTGTTCTCTCTATGAAGATATAAAAAGGGTTTCTCAGAGCAGTAAAGGAACAAGGTGGTACAGTAGGTCAGTGTGTTAATCCAGTGGAAGTGGAACACAAAGAGGTTTTGGACGGCAGAATTTAAATCTGTTTCATTGAGTCTACATAAGTGAAGACCTTTCTAATTTTGCTCAAGTGAATGACTAAAAAGAGAGATTTCCCAAACATTCCCATGAAATCTGTGGTCAAATATTCACTTCTACTCTGGAATAGAGATTACAAATCTGGGTTTACTCACTCTCATGATGGACGCTGTAACGGCTCAGAGTCAGACCTTGAAATGAGGCACACAGTCAACTCGACGTAAAGACAGATGAACAAATACCGGCCTTTACAACCCAAACCCCCCCTCCCTCCATGAAACATACCAAAACAACAACAAACCCCCCACTCAATGAGAGGAAAACAGGAGGTTCAATTCTCTGCTCCTTAAAGAAGCTCCTCCTTAAAAATGTAAAGCTCAATATTGATTAATAAGGTCAGAAATGGCAGATGTACAAACTTCTATAAATAGTCACAATTTGAGAAACCACAGTGGGAAGTATCAAAACTCAACTACTTTCTGTTTACTTGTTTCTATAAAGTTTTTAGGTACTCGCGATGTGAGCGACTAGCCAACTCTCGTTAGTCGGCACCAGAATAACCCTTCAGTAAAAAGGAATTCTTGATATTTTTCAAAGCAGGCCCTCAATGCCGGTCAAATACTTTGCTTAAACTGTAACTCAGCCCCCCACCACGAGTCAGGGCGGGAGGCATAGACTGACTACAGCTCCTCTGTTTAATTGACCAGCTCTCCCAGCTCTACTAGCAGGATGTAAACCAGCATGGTGAGCAGAGAGCATCTGGTAGGAGCAGCGCGGTATGTAGGCCGTGTCGGGTGAAACTGGGATGTTGAAATTGTAACCACATTTAACACAGGTGTGTGAATGTTAACCTGCTAAATTCATCTGTGCACGTAGTACATATTAGTCTTTGTTTATTGATGATATAATATCATCATTATAATATCATATTCTGATATTGTCAAAAATAACACTTGGCACAAAGCCAAACTGATGCTGTGGCGGCACAACTTGTCAGCTTAAAAGCTAGCTAGCTAACTGACACAGGGCAGTCCCCTGCTTCCTGTCGTAACCATAGCAACCAAATATGTTTCGGAGGTGTCTTGCAACTTGTTGTTGTAACTTTTCCATTTTAATAAGAGGATAAATGAATCAAGTGTTCCATTTTCTTTTACAAATTGGTGTTTTGTTTCCCTCTCTGGCCGGGTGGGCCAGTGGGTTCTGTGGGCAGGCCACTGCCACCTAGGCCCGTTACAGGCTACGCTTCTGGGCTACATGCAATATGTTTCTGGAAAGTGTTCAGTCAAGTTTAATAAATTAAGCTCAATTCTAACTGTTCCAATAACTTAAATAAAGATGGATGAGATTTGTTTGTTATCAGAAATCAATAACTAAATCAACACAACCTGAAGGTTCCTCACAGGAGCTTTAAGGTCCAGAAACCTTTACAGCACGGTAGGTTACATTACGGCTGGTGTAAATCCCACACACGTGAGTTTTCATGAAGAGCTGTACTGCAGGTTCAAGTCCTGTGGACTCGGCATCTATCACAGGGAGGGGGTGATACTTTCAGACAACCAAGAGTTTGTGGAGGAATGCCAGGTTCACAGAGATCTCCGGGCCCCGGCGTGCATCCGCCCGCCCTGACACCAGCTCACACATTCCTAACTCCCTCCACGTCTCAGCTGGTGGGCGGCTCTCATGACAACTGGCTCTGATAAACACATTATTGAGGTTGATGCTGCTGCTGATGAAAATGTTTCACAAACTACTGTAGAGGTGGTAAAAGAGTCAGACATAACTAAATATCTATTTCTTCACAATCAGTTTTAATAGCCATGTATGTATAAGTACACATACGAGGAGTTTAACTCCTCTAAATTAACTTTGCTCTTTAGGTACAACATTACAATTAAACTATTAAACCCATATACAAGCCTAAATAGGACAACATTGCACAGATGAGGAGGGCAAATGATGCTGAAACTAACAGCAGTGTTTCCATATCCATTTAGGTTGGTGGCCCACCCCAACGTGACCTCCCAGCACCCCAAAAGAAAGGCACAAAATACTTTAGTTATGTATTTTATGA